CTTCCTTGCGAGTATGCATAAGATTATTCAAATAATAATCATAGGCTATAGGATTAAGCTTTTTCTTATAAGAAAAAAAAGTTTAGCGGATTTTTGCAAAAAGCGGTAAACTGAATTGCTCTATTTTTTCATTTACCGTTGAGCAAAAATCTTCTCATTTCAGATATTTACCGTTCACCCTGTCGGTACATAAGCTCACATAATCACATAAACACATATACATATGTATCCGATAAACTACGTGCATATATATATATTAGGGATGCAAATTTTTCGTCTTTTTCTGATCCCGGGATTTTCGGGATGGCCTTGTCACAATCCCGGAATCCCGGGATTTAGATATTCATTACTTTTCAACAACTTGAATCGAAAAAATTGCTTCTATATTGTTTGAGAAGCTCTCCTACCATGAAATAAATAATAAATAAATGGGTTTGAAACCTACTTTTTTATTTAAAGTGGCGTTTTTATTTTTTTTCTCTGACCGCACGATTTATTTTGAAGGACTTTGTAATTTCAGATATGATTAATTCCAAAAATTGTTAAAAAAATCAATGCAATGTAGAATAAAAATATATATAAAATAACAAATGCAATAGGAAATTTCTTTAGAATTTAAAAATTTTTATTTTTTTTGGATTCACAAGGACGAATAGGTGATTTTTAAGCTGACAAAGTTAGAAGAACGAAATTCGAGGATGTTATCGAGTTTATATTAGCCCTTAACATATAATTTTTTCAAAACCAAATATTGCGAAATTTCAAGGATAAACTTTTAAAATGACATTTCCAATATTTACCAGCCCTTCTGCACCAGAAACTTGAATCTGTTTAAATTCTACAGGATTTCCTCATTAATTTTATACCCATACTTCTTCTCTAAGCACATTTCTATGAACTTTTTAATCATTTTTGAATTACTGACGTCAGAGTGTAAAACTAAAAAAGCAATTTTACTATATTTGGCCCAGGGGTTCGCGAATATATTGATATTTGTGTTTAAAATTCACAAAGTCTCCACAAATGACATACTTAATATAACTAGCAAGTTCAAAAATAAAATTGGGGGAACAAAACTCTTATCCGAAGGAGTTATTAAATACTCCATAATTTACACTGGATACTTTTACGCTCAAATAGTTAATGAAAGCCTAGAGAAAGGTGTATTTCCAAATGTCTGGAAAACTTCCATTGTTGTGCCAATAGAGAAAATAAAAAATACTATTAGGGCAGAGGAGATTAGGCCTATAAATACGTTACCGTGTGACGAGAAGATACTTGAAACGGTGGTAAAAACCAACTTGTCCAGTGTTTAAAAGAAAACAAAATTATTATCCCATAGCAATCTAGTTTCCGTAAAAGACATTCCTGTGAAAGCGCTTTAAATTTGGTTATTGCTAATTGGAAAACTTGAGTAGAAATAAACACATTGTAGCTGTTTTCCTAGATTTGAAACGTGCTTTTGAGACAATCCGAAAACCGTTACTAAATAAGTTGCTTAATATGGGTATCGCTGGTACGGAACTAAGATGGTTTGAGGACTTTATTACGAATCAGAGTCAAAGAACATTAATTGGATCATCAGAATCAAATAAAAGAGGTGCATCAGTTGGGCTGCCGCAAGGGTCTGTACTAGCTCCCATTTTGTTTAATATTTATATTAATGACATTACTGATTGCATAAAATACTGTGATATGAAATTATTCGCCGATGATACGTTACGTTATGTGGAGATAATGACCTAAATAAAGTATACGATTGGCTATGCATGAACAGACTTAAATTAAACGTTAATAAAACCAAATTTATGGTTATATCAAGGAGTAATCTTGAGGACAGTGGGCTGCAGAATTTGTATATAAAGAACGAAGCAATTGAAAAAGTTAGAACATTTTAATACTTAGGAATAAAAATCGATGATAAACTGAATTTTGAACATTGATTTTACGGTGGGAAAGATAGCCAAAAAATTATACTTTATGCAACGAACCTGCAGTTATTTAGGTAGAAGATTCAAGACTATGGTTTATAGATCTATTATCGAACCTCATTTCCAACCTCATTTGTCCAACAATATTTTTTATAATGAGAGATAGTCAAATTTACAAATTACAAAAACTACAAAACCGAGCGATGAGATTCATCCTTACGAAGCGCTATGACACACCTATCAGAGATATGTTGGCCACTCTAAATTGGTTCAGCATTAAACAACAGCTGTTTTACTATACAATGAAGTTTATTAAAAATATTATTGATGGAAACTTGCCTGATTATTTGAATAGTAACATAAAGTATGTCAATAATGTACACTCCAAGAATACTCGAAGCAAAAATGATTTCAATCTACCTGCCTATAAAACTGAAGCTGATAAATGCAACTTGTATTACAAAGGGTTAAAATATTATAATGAATTGGCAAAGGATATTAAATGTAGCAATATAAATGAGTTTAAACAAAAATTGTACCATTATTGCAGGACGCTTGCAATTTACGTACAACGTATACTGTTGCACCACGCCAACATAAGTATTCTGTTCCCATAAGCATCTGAAAAGTAGCCGCAGCTCATCCCAAAGCGCATCACTAGATCGAATCAGTACATTGCCGTTTGGATGCTTGTTGCGCACTTTATCTACATGCATAATCGGTCGTTACACCGCAGCCGAATCGTATAATCATTGCTTTGACATGATTTGGAAGTCAGCAACATTGTCAGTCGCTAATATTGGGCGATTCATATACGTAGCTTTTACTTTGTATTTTAGTTTAGACTATAAGCCATACATAGATTTTAAGGAATATGTATAAGCTAAGCTTAATAAAGCTGTAAGAAATAAATAAATAAATAAAAATTTACTATCGCGCGCTGTTATATGTACAATGAGCTAGACATTTATAAAAAAATATTTATTATTAAATAAAAAAGAAATATAGCCAATACTGGTCGAGAATAGGAGTTTCTATTATTGCCATCAGTGCAAATTACAAATCCCGAAAATCCCGGGATTTTTGTAACGTTGAAATGGGTTTTTATTAAAATATAATTGGCGGGGAGAACACGTCTTGCCGGCTTGATGATCGCAAAAATTGTATTTTGTTTCATGTTATGTTGTAATTCATGTGTGTGTTATGTCTAAGTACCATTCATGTGTATATGTGTGTGTGTAGGTGTATTATGTGTACGTGGGTGGAACGGTCCGTGGTGAGTAGGCGATTAGGCAGGGTTGCTGCTGTTCAACGGAGCCATTCACGGTCGAAAAAGGGGGAACGGCCGAACTCATTTAGCCATCCCGGCCCCCCTAGGCGAGTCTTCAGCCTAGTAGTTGCTGGAGTTGCTGCAGGGTCTCCACTACGTTGCTGAGTCCGGTTGCACGACGGGGACGTTGCGTAGGCTGGTTCCAAGTGCGATGTTGTATTGGTGGTCGCCGCGATCGTGCTGTACTGCTGTCGTGCGGCCTTCGCCGCCTATGGTTGCGTGACACTGGCGTCTCGATCATCGGACGTCCGGACATGCGGTGCAACAGCGTGTGATGCGGTCGCATAGTTGGCACCTGATGGGGGAGTCGCATTTCCTCGTTGCGTGGGATAGCGCCAAGCAATTGAGGCAGTGCCCATGCGCTTGCGCAACCTCCTAAATATGGAGCATAGGCGCAGCTTGTGTGGGCGCCTACATAGCGGGCATCGTACGCCATGCATCTCTGCTGGGCTCCTTTGTGGAAGCTCAGTGCCGTCGGAGCAGCGGCGGGACGAGGCGTGACGTTGCGCTTTGTGTACGAAGATCAACTACGCGGACATGACCGTCGGAGCCATGATATATTTCCTCTATGCGGCCGAGCCGACATTCCGTATGAGGAAGACATTCGTCGTGAACTAGGACACAGTCTCCAATCTTTGGCGCTTCTTGACTATTTTTCCATCGGTATCTTTTATGGAGGTCTTTTAGATATTCCTCCTTCCATCGACGGCTAAATTCGTGATGGAGAAGTTTAACTCTTTCCCATCGATTTGTGAGGGATAGGGATTGCGCGTCTGGCTCGGGTATGGCCAGAAGTGGGGCTACTCTGAGAAAATGCCCAGGGGTGAGGGCTTCGAAATCGGAGGGATCTTGCGAGAGGGTATTGAGAGGCCGTGAGTTGAAAACGGCTTTAATTCGAGCTAATAGAGTGGTGAACTCTTCATTAGTAAATTTATAATTACCAGCGACTTTCTTGAAATGCGCTTTAAAGCTTTTTACGGCGGATTCCCAGAGTCCCCCCATGTGTGGAGCGCTAGGGGGAATAAATTGCCAATTAATTCCTTGGGGTGCATATTTCTTAATGATTTCAGGCGAGACTTCCTTAATAAATTGGATAAATTGGTTTTCAGTGGCCCTTTTGGCTCCGACGAATATTTAGCCATTGTCGCTCATTATTTTTGAGGGAAATCCACGCCTTCCGACAAATCGGGCAAATGCCGCGAGAAAAGCTGAAGTTGTCAGATCTGAACATAACTCAAGGTGTACCGGTTTTGTCGAAAAACATACAAAAACGGCCACATAGCCCTTCGTAAAGGTGGAAGACCTTAACATAGAGGCCTTTATCTGGAAAGGCCCCGCAAAGTCAACACCCGTGATGGTAAAGGGCAAAGAGAAATTGCAGCGTTCAGGTGGTAGAGCTGCTATGATCTGCGTGCGCATTTTCTGCTTATGTAGAGTGCAGACTTTCCACAGGAAATACATTTCTTTATCTGAGGCTTTAGTCGTGGGATATAAAGCTCTTGTCGGATCATTTGCTGCATAAGCCGATGTTCAGCGTGTAGCATCAATAAGTGCAAATAATTTATGTACAAAATGGCAAATGGCGATTTTTCGGGTATTATTATTGGGTACCGCTCGTTATAACTCAAACTGGAGTTTGCCAGACGTCCATTGGCGCGTAGCAGTCCCTTCGGGTCTAGGAAGGGATTAAGAACTAAGAGTGGGCTTTTTTTTATCTATTGGCTTTGATACCATCAAAAGTGCTATTTCCCGGTCATAATAGCGGGTCTGAGTAGACATAATCAGAGCGATTTTAGCCCGTTGTAGGTCTTGGTGTGCTAGTGCATGATGCGGGGGGTTAGGCGCTCCTTTCCCTTGGTTTTTGAGGCGATTTATGAACTGAAACATATAATCTATTACTCTGAGGCATCAGGGGAACGACGAAAATCGTTTAAGGATGTCGTATCATCCAATACGGCATGACAGTTTTCAAGTTTTCGACTTTCGGGGGGTATTATGTTGCGTATGGGGATTGTGGCCAGAATTCTTGTGATTCTGTTAGCCAGCTGGGGCCGTTCCACCAGAGTAAGGTGGTGGCGAGGTGCAGGGGTTTGCAACCTCTTGTGCCAAGATCGGCGGGGTTATCAGCACTGGCTACATGTCGCAAAGTTGCTGGCCCAACTAAGTCTATTATTTGGCCTGTGCGGTTTGACACATATGTCTTCCACGTATGGGGTGGTTTTTCTAACCAAGCAAAGACTATTTCAGAGTCAGTCCATAGGTAAAATTTGCGATTGTTCAGGCTTAAGTGGGTTTGAACAGTGGAGGCTAGTTTTGCAAGGAGGAGCGCCCCGCATAGCTCAAGCCGTGGTAGGCTTACGGTCTTTAGCGGAGCCACTTTGCCTTTCGCGACTAGCAAGTGGCTTGTTGTTTTGCCATCATGTTGGGTGCGCACGTATATAGTAGCGAAGTATGCCTTTTCAGAGGCGTCACAGAAGCCGTGCAGTTCGGCTTGATGTACGGGAGAGTATGAGGGATTTGTATTTCCGAAATAGTGTTCAGATTGTTGGCAAATTGAATGAATGAGTATCTTTACTTGGATCATAATTGGTGCAAGCCATCCTGCGGGGTTAAAAAGTTTTGCCACAGACGACAGGATCTGCCTTTTGGTTTTTGCGGATATTGTAGATATTGACTCAAGAGTGTATGAGAATTGATCTGATATCGCATTCCATCATATTCCCAGAGTTTTGGTGGTACTTTATTTTTCAAAGATGAGGAAGTTTGTGTCTAATAAGTGGTCTTTATTTATATTCTTTAATATTTCGGGGTGGTTGGCCGTTATCTTTTTCAAGGGGAACCCTCCGCAGTTGAGGGCTTAGATCACTTGAGATAGTGATTCACATGTTGGGGTAAGCTGTGGCTTCCCGACAGGATATCGTCCACATAAGTTTGTGTTTTTAACACCGGGGTTGCTAGAGGCAGTTTTTCTTTTATATCGTTCGCCAATTCGTGAAGTGTTCGAATGGCAAGAAAGGGGGCGCAATTTACGCCAAATGTCACCGTTTTTAATTTGTAGTCGCGTATTGGACTACTAGGTGAATTGCGAAATATAATGCGCTGAAAATCTTGACGTTTTTATGTACAAGGATTTGTCAGCACATTTTTTCGACATCCCCATTGAAAACGTATTTAAACATGCGCCAGTTTAGTATTAGGAGCATTAAAACGGGTTGTAGTGTGGGTCCCGTATATAATACATCATTTAATGAATTGCCTGCGCTTGTGCATTTCGAGGCATTGAATACAACTCTTACTTTTGTTGTAAGTTTTTCTGGCTTTATTACTGCATGGTGTGAGAGGTAAAATGATGTATATTTACCTTTTGTTATTTTTTCATATGACTCGACTATTTCCATATGATTTAATTGGAGGTATTCCTCGAGTACATTGTTATACGAGGTTTTTAGCTCGCCTTTTTTAAGCAGGTTTTTTTCCATACTTAAAAATTGCTGAAGTGCTGAGGTTCGGGAGTGACCTAAGGCGAGTGTGTCGGAAAATTGTGGCTTGAATGGTAGCCGTACGACGTACAGTGTTTCGACTATATGGAGGCAGGTAGAAAAAAGTCATGGTGACAGTTGGTAAAAAAAACCGGTCCGACTTAGAGAGGGAATAGTAAAAGTCATAAGTACCAAATTTTACATTATTTACTCACCCCCCCCTTCTTCACGAACGATACATTTCCAAAAAATACGGGAATGGGCGCGATACCGACTAATCAGTTTAGTTGCATTTGGCGCTAAACCCATTACAGAAAGAGTTTCTTTTTCAATTGTAATTAATTATCTAAATGTCGTGGAATATTCAGATGAAGGTATTTATCATTTATTTGGTATTTTCCTATTTTCTTACCAAAAAATTTACTTTGAAATGTAGATGCTAAAGATTATTAGTAAAAAAAGTGTGAGTACCGGTCCGTCAGGTCTTGAAATTAGACTAATATTTTAGATAATTTTATGTAGTTTTTGAATATATATATATTGCGAGCGACTTTGCAAATATATGTAATTTTGGATTTTCAACTTCTTTTTGCATAATTTAGCGAGAAGAATTTTTCGAACAATGAAAAAATCCCACCAGATATTGGGAAAAAAGCGAGTATTGACACCTAAGTTATTTTATTGTATAACCTTTGTTTTCTGAGAGTGGAAAGCAGGAAACAAAAATCACCCAAAATTCCATTACATTTAATGACTGCGCCCACATTTTTTGTGAGTTTTGAACGTTATAGTAATCCAATCTTCCCCATATTTTATATTTAGGTTTTTCTAATAAAATAAAGACTACAAACTAAATTTCATCAAAATCGGATGAGATTTAATTTTTCCGCCCACAAGAGTAGAGGGCGTGGCAATTATTACATCTTTACAAAATTGCATAATTCTCTATTTCTAAGTAAAACTAGATCACATGTCAGGTTTCAGTGAAATCGGTGCAGGTGCACTATTATTTCCATCTGCCTCCATATAGTCGAAACACTGTGCGACGTAGCGGCCGTTTTTTGATCTTGTAGTTGTGGCTTTATAATAGTCTTCACAATACTTATCTTCTGGGGTAATGACTTGCATGGGGGGGGAGTTCTTCTAACTCCCAAAATCTTCTTAGTTGAGAATTGAGGTATTCGTTTGAAATATCTTCAACTTGAGTTTTGAATACCGATATTTTTTCTTTTACTTGGCCGCTCAATATCCATCCAAAGATGGTATTTTGGGCTAACAGGGTATTTGAAATTTTTTCAATGCCTTCTAGCATTATTTGGGGGACTAGGTCGCTGCCTAATAGGATATCAACTTGCGCGGGGGTGTGGCAGTTGGGATCCGCTAATTTTAGGTGGGCAAATTTTTGGCGATCTTTGCCATTTACTTTATAGCTTGGAAGCATATTTGCAAGTTGCGGCAGAACTATGGCGTGTGCCTCTATTCTTACATCCGCATTGGGGAAATCAGGGTTAATGAGCAGATTTTATTAGAGTTTTGTATTACTCTTCCACCCACTCCCGAAATTTCAAAGTTTGAGTTTGTGGTTGGGAGTTTTAGCCGGTTTTGTACTTTTGATGAGATAAACGATCTTTGTGAGCCTTGATCGATTACAGCTCTAAGCTTGAATAATTCTCCTCGATGTTCAATCGAGACAATCGCGGTTGGCAGTAAAATTTTGCTTTCATTTTCGGAATGAAGCGCTTGTATATTTGCTGTTTTCGAATAGCATGGTTTCTCGGTTTCGTTTTCGAGATTTTCGGGGTGTTCGGGTCTAGCTGTTGCAACTAGCCCTGTGGCTCTTTGCGAGTTAGAGCTATTTAG